TTACAGGCAAACCTAGCTTGAAGGAGAAAGAGGCTTTAGTGTGTAAGGATCATGCTTCAGGTTCAGCTGAGAAGGGGACTTAGAAATGTCAGCTAGTACCAGACAGTAATCACTAACAGAATGAATGATAGTTTAATGCAGACTGATTATTAAATAGCCAGGCCAAGGAAAGTAGATATAAGTATGGATAATTAAATGTGTCTATCCTCTGCTGGTGGGAAAATAGAAGAAAGGAATTTTAAGATTCCTGAGAGCAGGGCCCTCTATGTTCTAATTCTTTGTGTCTCCATCCAGGGGCTTGACTTAATATTAGTAAAGTTCAACAAATAAATGAATTACTGCCTACTTGATAGAATTCTTGCAGAATAGATAAATGGAGTACAGAAGTTGTTCATAGAAGACAGGATTCCATAGCCCATTTTAAAGCTAGAATAACTACCAGGCCTATGATTAATTAGCCAAAGGGTCAGGGACTTAGGCCAAGGGAATTAAGATTTCTATGACTGTTTAGACTCTTGGAATTCTTACAGGATAATTGACTTTCACTGGACCATTATTATTAAGCCCTGGAGTTCGTTCTTCAAGAACACTAGATTTATTAGCACATAGGGCCTTTAGGTAAGCTTGGACAAGTCCAAATCCTAAGAGTACCAGGTAAATCCTCAAATTCTTGTTCACTTTCACCAGAGTCTGGTGTTCAGAATGCAGCAAAGGAGGAAATGTAATAACTTTCTGTATCCTAATGGTTTTATAGAATTACTTTCAAGGCATTTATACTGTACTACTTTGACTGGTTAATTTGTCATAGGCTTGTGATTTTATAAAAATGTCATGGCTTCCAACTGACATCCATTATGCATGTACAATTCAAACTTCTTAGCCTGGCATAAAAGCCATGTGTGGTTTGTTACCAAATTACTTCTCTGGAATTATCTCAAATATGCTTCATATATAATTAATGCTCCAGTTGTACTAAATTTCTTCCCCAGGTCTTGTAAATTTACATATGCTATTCCAATGTTTAGGAGTTTGCTCCCAACTCTTATTAATTTATCAAGATCCATTACCAAATCTCTGAGACCTGTTAGTGATTTCTTTTTCTGTATATCTGAACTTATCGCTATTCTTAAAAAATACAAACATCACCAGGTGTGGGGGCATGTCTGTAATCATAACACTTGGGAGGTAGAAGGAAGGAGGATCACAAGTTCCAGTCCAGCCTGGGCTATAAAGCAAAACCCTGTCAATAGACAAAAAATCAAATATTCCACCATTTTTTATCCACTTACTTATTTTTTTAACCTTAATACATTAGACTATCAACTCCAAAATAGTAAAAATCAAGTCTTCATTTTGTTTACTTCACTTTAGTTCAACAAATAGTCATTGGCTGGACAGAAATGCCTAGATGTATATATGTATTAATGGAAGTTTTATCAAAAAATAATGACAGCTATAGTTGCTTCAAATAATTAACATTTAATAAAACAACTTGCAAACAAATTGTTAAAGATCATACAAGGAACTTGTCCCCAGTGCTTTTGTCTACATTTAATTATGATGGACATACGCTCTGGGATGTAGAGAATTGAGAAAGAATAAAATCCCTTACACCTGTAATTATGTCTATGTAGTCTGGCATGAGAACTGATTTTTCTACTGTAAAAGCCTATACTGCAAATGCCATGTTTTTGGTGATTTCATTAACATTTAAAAATGTTAACAATTCTGTCAGCCCAAACTGAAAATGACTGTGTGAGAAATGAAAGCTTGCATAACTCTGACACCCGCTAGTCAAGGCTCATTATCCTCCTGGCTTTTACTATGCAGTGAGGAAGTAGGGTCAGCTTTGCAAAATTTAGGAACAATTAAGAAAATTACTATATGCAGATGTGACTTATGGACTGAGAATAACTAACTTTCTAAAAGACTGAATTAAGCAAAAATAAATAAGTATGATGAAAAAACCCAGAGATGTTTTATGGTAAGAGGCAGCTTTTTAAGTTATTCATTATAAAGACTCCTTCCAGGGATTTGCCCACTTCCTGTGACCCTTTCCTGAACACTTTGAAACTTTCTCTTTGACTGTATTCCTCAGGGAGTTGAAGAAGTCCTAAGCATATTGTCTGAAATTCTTTGAGTTCATTTCTCAAACACATCCACGGGGATGAAAATATTGTCCCTGACACTTATACATTGTGAATTGCTGCTGGGCTCCAAACCTCACATTCTTCTTTTACAACTTCAAAGTATGTGGAATAAAAATGTGGAAACAGCCATGAAGGGTAGAGGTTATCCATCAACCTTCTACCCTCCAAAAAAAAAAGTGAGAAAAAAATGAAAAGAAGAAAACTAGACTGTAAGTATCTAGGTAAATTAAAAAAAAATACTGTTCTTAATTTTGGTGTTATTTATCTGTCAACTACCCATTTTTCTTCTACAACAACAGATAATAGAGGGCATAAACAGAAAGTTTTCTTTCTTTTTATGTTGATAAATTCCAATAAATATCTATTAAGTGCCTGCTGTATGGTAGGCTTTGACTTGGCTGAATGATACTGTCTCCACATAATGTAATTTATATTTTAGCTCAGAAGTCAGACACATAGACAGATAATGACAGTAGAATAGGCTAAATGCCATCATAAAATTTGATGCATGATGCGCCATGGGATCCTTGTGGAAGAGGCATTTAATTTTAATGTAAATTAAATCACAGGAAGCCAGAAAGATCAGTTGATCTTGATAAAAGGAATCCCTAAGGTACGTACAACCTAAGTCAACAATATTCCTCCCTGTAGTTTCTCAACATTTTTAGGATCCAAACAAAATGATTTTTCTTGTGCTCTCCATTTTCCATGAGACAGAAAGATACTAAATACCTTCATGTAGTTTTCACAGTGGCTTTTCCTGCCAGCTGTTTATGACTGTCCTTCTAAAATAATGATCGTTTGAAATTATAAGTCAAAGCTTTGCTTATATGTTTCTTATGAAGGAGACTATTTCTTGTTTTAGATAAAATCTTGGGGCTCAGTTATGCTTTAGTACACAAACAATAGATTGAATCTGGATAGAGACTGTAAAACAAAATAAGCATAGTTTGATTTTTTGAAAAGTCTAGTGTAGTATAGGAAAAATGGAAAGTTCAAATGATGATCGAACATCTAATTTTATTATGAATAGATTTCTAAAATACTCGAATTATTTTCTACTTTGTTAACAACATCCTTTAAGGAATTTATAATTTGTGCTTAGTCTTTAATTATGGCATTTAGCATGTTGACTTGCACAAAGTAGGGTGCTTAAATCAAATGTGCATATTTAAACTTAAAATTGTAAGGATTCCCTGAACTTTTACCAAACAGTTCTGTTTTTTTTTTTAACTCATATTATTGTTGTATTGGGGGTACACTGTAACATTTACAAAAGCTCTTACAGTATATCATAGTTGAATTCATCCCCTCTACCATTCTCCTTTAAATCCCCAATTCCTGGAATAGTTTCAATAGGTCTCATTTTTCCATTTTCATTCTTGAGTACCTAATGTTTCCACCATATTTGCCCTCCTACACCCTTTCCTTATATCCTCCCTCCCCCACTGGTACCAACCCCCAGAAAGGACCTGTTTTACATTTTTGAAAAAAGGCATTTTTGTTTGTTTAAGATAGCTCTACAGGGAGTTTCACTCTGACATTTCCATGTATATATGTATTAGAACTTGAAGAGTTTCATCCTCTCTATTTTTTTCCTTTCAATCTTAGTCACCTTCTAAAGGTAAGACACCATAAAGTTTCTTCAATATAGTCAAATGTCACTGTTCAAAGAGGGCCACCTAAAAATGGGATCTAGTTTCAGATAAGCTTTCACCTCTGAAATAGCAATAACTTTTTGACTTGGCCTCCCTGATCATAAGGTGGGCCTTTTCCAGGGGAACATCTAGTCCCCTACAAAATATCCTTTAAAGATAATTCCCCTTTTCCCAAAGATTATGAAAATCATTTCTGTGTAAGGGGATATTCTTTATTTTAAATGGGCTTTTTCATTCTAGCTTCTCAATCAGATTTAGGTATTAACCAGGAAGGTGCCTAATTACAGTTATTTAAAATGTAATAATACTGTTGTGAAACTTTTAGTTATATCTAGTCATCTATTCTATCTTCTATCTATCTATCTATCTATCTATCTATCTATCATCTATACATCTATCTCATCTATCTATCATTAAAATTCCATGAGTGATAGGATGTACTGTTATATCCATTTTACATAAATAGATAAAGAACATAGGAAACCAAAACTCAGAGCAGCTAAGTACCTTTTTATTTTATTTTATTTTTATTTTTAAAATACCTTGGGTGTGTGACTGGGGTTTGGACTCAGGGCTTTCATACTTGCAAAGTAGGCACTGTACCACTTGAGCCACACCTCCAGCCATATCTAAGTATCTCGACCAGGTTATGCAAGGATTAAGTGGCAGAGATAAAATTCTAATCCTGATGCCTTAACCATCAATCAGTCACTTCCTGTGTGACTGTTTCTTTCTTTGTATATATTTAGCAAGATTTGTTCAAGACTATTGAGATGGGAAAAATTAGGGAGAGAAAGTTATTGTGCATTCACTATTCACCAAGCATGGTGTTAGATACTTTTTGTACATAATTTTACGGTATGTTTACTGCAATATATTCTTCTATATTATTCTGATTTACTAGTTAGAAAACTGAGACTCAGAGCTTTTAAATAACTTGCCAAGATCACAACAAGAAGTAAGGAGCTAAGCCGGGCTGAGTGCTCTCTCTTTACCATGCACTTACAAGTCTACAGATCAAAGTACAGATCATGAAATGCTAGCCCTATGCTGTTCAAAATCCTTTCAGAAATTTTATTATAGTTTAAAGCCACTCAAGACAAGAATTCTGCAAAGGAGAAAGATAGGAAAACTTTTACTTCCTGTCAGAGAGCCCTATGGATGAGAATATAACCCAAGCTTTGCATCCTACCTTGATAGATATTGTCCTGATGTGAGATTTGTAGTCTTCACTTCCATACAGTTCATTGTGCTGGGAATGAGAGCAAGTTCTGGCTGGATCATGGTGGCTGTGGCTACTGCTCTTGCAACCAGCTCCATGGCATCTTGTACGTAGTACTCAAAAACAGACTGTGTTGTTTTTCCATGAGCAATGAGCCCTAAGGGCAGACCTTCCGTCCTCAGTTCTTCCACATTCTGCGAATCTCCCAGCACCCAGTGAAGCTCGAGGGGTGTTACCCCAAACTGGGTGGAAATTTCAAAAATCTTTCGAATTCTCTCCATGCTGCAGCCGAACATCACCATTGTGGGTATGCTGTTCTTAACACTCTCAAGCTGGACCTGTAGGAAGCTTAAGAGATCCTTGGTGGAGGATAGGTTAGCAGTGATGTTGATGATAGACCCGAGGTGGAACTTGGAATTATTCTGGGTAAGGAGAAGGAAGTCGGTGATGTTCCAGTCTTCCTGGCAGAGCAACAAGCTAAAATTGTACCAGTTGTTCATGGTCAGGATTGAGACAGTGACATCAGCATCAGAACTTAAGGAATTTTCTAAACTCAGTTGTAGGTGAAGGGGATTCTGTATTTAAAGATATGAAAAAGAAGAATTAAAAAGCATTAACCAAAGGCAATAATATAGGGTACTTTTGTTCTCTTATGAGGCTGAATCTTTATTTTTCCTCATGATTTTCAAATACCTCTGGGGTAAAATTCCTATACTTTGGAAAAATATGCTTTCTATCTAATTGACTACTGATTCTTTATCATGATTTCCTGATAATTTTTGCTAAGAATACCAGAGGGCAGATGGCTCTTGGTGTAAATTTGAGAGGTGACTTAGCCATACATTTGTTCTTAGATTTTTATCAGGCTTGTCTTCCTTACAAATAGTTTCTTTGTGCATCCCATTTTTTAGGTTGTGGTTAATAACTCATTTGTTAAACTTTCCATGCAAGTAAAATAATTGAAAGAAATTATTTTTGCTTTAAAAATTAATGGCAGAAAAATCTTAGCACTGGTCTTGTGCAAGGAATTGTAGAAGACAAATAGATCTTAGTTTCCTAAACTTCTAACCCTTTGAGAAAGGCACTTCTGATATATATGGAATAATTTGCAATATATACATCAAAATTAAGTGTATAGTTCAGGGTTAAAGGCTTGATTACATTTCTGTATCTACTGATCCTGGATACTTGCTATAAAAAGTGTACATTAAACACATTTATGTAACTTAAATCACAATTTAATCTACACATGGAACTCAGCAACTCAATAAAGGAAGACCATCTTACTTTTAATGTCATAAATTATTAATCATATCAGTGGAATGTATGTAGGCTTCTGATATTGAAGAAGATGATAGCCTTGAAACAGGGTTGTAAAACATGGTAAACTGTCAATTAAAAGCTGTAACCTCGGACAGAGCTGTAAGGAGTTGCCCATTAGAGCCATGCAAAAGTTTGGGACCAAGATGAAAGGCACCATGCAGAGATAAGCACCCATTCCTGCCTTCCTTTGTCTCCACTTGTAAATAAACTTTCCAAAGCAGGCCTCCCCCACTGCTCTTATCTAAACCTTAGGTCTCTAACCCACTACTAGCCCTACTTTATGGGAGAGCACATTCCTTGTAACCTGATACCCTGCACTGCCTTTTAAATATCCTGTGAATCCTTTGTTCGGGGCTCAGACACTGGTACACGTCTGGGCCCGCTAGCATAAAAATTAAAATCTGAGTTCTCCACTCCTCCGAGTGTTGCTTGGTTTCTTCTCTGACTATATCGCCACAACAATATTAATAAATTTGTCATTTATTCTTATCAGCAGACACTTGACACATTTATTCTTTAACAATGATATCCAGAGAATGTTTAGGCTAATACCTTGTACACATTAGTAGCACAAAAAATATTGATTGAATTGAAGTAAATATGTCCCAGTTGGGAATTATTGAACTACTTTTGAGAGCTTGCCAAATATTCAGGTCAATAATATGTGTCAATCAGTGAGAAGATTAAATTTCAAATCCTTGTATAAAATAAAAGAAAGAAAGAAGTGTGGGCTAGCCCAACTCACCAAAAAATGAGTATCAAGAAATAGGATTTGAAGGGTTGGGGATATAGCTCAGTGGTAGAGCACTTGTCTAGCATGCAAGAAGCCCTGATTATGATCCACAACACTACAGTAAAAAATCCAAAACAAACAACAGCACATGATAAAAGCGAGAGCACACAAGGGAGGGGTGAGGATAGGTAAGACACCTAAAAAACTAGCTAGCATTTGTTGCCCTTAATGCAGAGAAACTAAAGCAGATACCTTAAAGCAACCGAGGCCAATAGGAAAAGGGGACCAGGAACTAGAGAAAAGGTTAGATCAAAAAGAATTAACCTAGAAGGTAACACCCACGCACAGGAAATCAATGTGAGTCAATGCCCTGTTTAGCTATCCTTATCTCAACCAGCAAAACCCCTTGTTCCTTCCTATTATTGCTTATACTCTCTCTACAACAAAATTAGAAATAAGGGCAAAATAGTTTCTGCTGGGTATTGAGGGGGGGGAGAGGGAGGGGGTGGAGTGGGTGGTAAGGGAGGGGGTGGGGGCAGGGGGGAGAAATGAACCAAGCCTTGTATGCACATATGAATAATAAAAGAAAAATGAAAAAAAAAAAAAAAACAACAGCACAAAAGGATTTGAGGTGAACCTTGAATTTTTTTGAAACATTGAAAAAATTCTTTTGACTTAATAAAGAATGGGATTCTGATAGCATTTACAGAAGGAAAATTATGACCACAAACAGGAAACAAGAGCACCCATGATAGCTGGCAGAATGAAGTCTTAAAATTTATTGAGAACTTCATTTTGTCCTTTTAAATTAAACTTTTGTGTGACACTTTCAATGACAAAAGTAGAGTTTGGGGAAGGTCATCTAGGGACAGAATCTAACAAAAGGAGGGATCTTGATTATGTTCTAAGAGTTTGAACTGGGAGCTTGTGTACTGGTAATAGGAAGGAGGGCAATAAGAAAAGGCTTTCAAAATCAAGAAGTACTTAGTGACAAAATCAGATGTAAGAGGCAAAAGAGAGAAAGATGTCAAACAAATGGGACAGTATTCAGTAGCTAGCTCCTGCTTTCCAGGCTTGAGATGCCAGATGAGCGCTCAAGATGAGAGGAACGGAAGCTTCAGCTACTCATTCCTCCTTCTGATGCATAAAAATTGCTCCAGATAGTTTTTTTTGTCTTCCTTTTTCAGCTTTCTGCCTTTCCTTTTTTTTTTTCTCCTTTGCCTTAACCATCTTTCAGCAGAAAAAGACAAAGAAAGGTATACTCTACATTTAGTTGGCAGGAACAAATTATTCCCAGCTACTGTTTCTTGGCTTCAACTCCCCATTCTTTGGCAGTTTTCTTTCTGAAACACAAATATGACCTATCATTCTTCAGCAACACAACCTCTGAATTACCCATTGGACAAATTTGAAAATCAGTAGTAGGGCTGAAGAGGTCATTCCTAGCTTACCCAACACTCCACACATGCCATAGAAGAGTAGAATATGCCAGCCCAAAATATGGCCCTTTGGCATAAGTATTATTTTGGATGATTATTTTGAGAAACTGGAGACAAAGGAAGTGCTGAAAATAGAGTAGGAATTATTTTTCTGTAAGGGAAGTTTACATCTACCAAGGAAATCTTCATTTGTGAGAGTATCTCTTTCTGTGTACCAGGAAGAGAAGGAAGACTAAACCACTAGAGAGTCTTGTCAATAGAGAAGGCATAAATCTGCATTACAAAGATTAATTATGTGTACTGTGCTTTTTCTGGCTATCTCCCCATTACTGGTGTTGCCAGCATCTTTCCTAGTTACAGTTGAAAATGGCCTTTAAACATAAACTTGAAGTCCCCTCTTGGAGATTTACTAACTTTTCCTTGGCTATCTCCCAACTACACATGAGGTACTCAAGATGTTAATTTTCTGTTTTTCTCATGTTAATCTGAATTTTTTTTGTAGAGATTGTCTCAACTAAGAACTATTAAGGATAAAGAGAAAATTAATTTTCCTCTCCTACAATGTATGCCAAGTCATACCAGATGATTTGTTTTTCTTGAACCAGGGAAAGTATTTTCATGGCCCAACAATTTAATTATCCTATCTTTTCACCTGGAAATGGATTTGCCTGTGTTCATATTCATCTTTCCAAGCTCAGCTCTTTCATGAACGTTTCCAGAAACTATCTTAGTTGCTGTGAACTTAAGTTCTCTGAAGAAGTTGCATTTATATTTGAGTTCCTGCAGACTGCATGACCTTGTCTTATTGGAACGTTATGATTGTGGACAAAAATGTAGGTTGAGAGCCAAAATTTTCTTGGACTATCTTAGGTACTAGCCATTTACCTTAAGTTTTATATCTGACCTGATATTCTCATGACTATTAGGTAAATTTCTCAGAAAGTATCACTAAGCTTAGTGATCTCTTGACTCCACTAACTCTAAAGCTAAGAATGATATAATGTAACATCTGAAACCTATAGAAAATATTTTCCTGCTGTTGTGGTTTGAATATAAAATGTTTTCCATAGCCTCATAAAATGAGAGCTTCGGTGCCAGCTGATGGGTTTTGGGGAAATGATTGGATTCTGAGGGCTCTGACCTAATCAATAGGTTAATCCTTTGATGAATTCAAAATGTGATGGCATTATTGGGGAGGTAGTGAAAAGTAGGAGGTAGGGCCTAGTTCAAGGAAGTAGGTCAATGGCGGCTTGTCCTTAGGGGTTATATCTTGCCCTGTCCCTCTCCTATAATCCTCCTCCCTGCTTCCTAGCTGTCATAAAGTGAACTGCTCTTTTCTGCCAGCCTTCCCTGCCATGATGAACTGACACTTCTGAAACTATGAGAAAAATAAATCTGTCCTCCTTTAAGTTGATTCTGTCAGATGTTTTGTCACAGCAATGAAAGTAGCTAATATACCTATTTTGCTTTAGCCTGCTTATCTAATGCTCCCACTGATATATTTGTTGAATGTATTGATTTATGTCCTTCTTTGTTCTGTGGGAATAAACATTCATGTAACCTCTTCTTCTGTGGACTATGTCATTCAAGGTAATGTGAATTTATATCACTAGGTCTTGGTAGCTCATGTTTGACTCAGAATAAATCCTTACTTCCTTTGAACCAGAGGTGTTTTTGTATTGGCACATTTTTGCCCTTTTGACTTCATGCACTGGTGAGTTGGAGTTTTGATTATTTGATTATTCCTCTGCTGATGAGGCAGAATTAGTAGTCTCATGTGTGTGCCATGCTGTTTATCTCTTTATTATAGAACTCTTCACACTACAGTGTAGCAAGTGGTTGTTTATCACATATAATAGACTGGAAGCTATTTATTAAACCAGAGGTAGTATTTGCCAAATGGAACTTCTCTTTTATTCACCACAAATCCTGGCCTATGATCATAGTCTGAAAGACTGAAGAGTAAAAGACTAGGGAGAAGACCATTTCTAGCAAAGTTTTAAGACCCATTGTCCTGAGTTGTAACAAAGGCTCTCCCACTACTTCCCATAGATGAACTCATTAAATTGGTGTGTGAGGA